ATCCATAAAATGTGCTGCACACATCTGAATATTTGGGTTGAACTGTTCTGGAACAGTGTTGTAAATATAACTTAACCACTGATTTCTAGTCGTGTCCTCTTTTGGAAGGCCAAACAAAGTAGTTTCGCGTTCACAACGAAACAAACAGCGTCACACACGGCGGGCTAGAGTGAGCAGCGTGGCCGGCGGATAAAGAATATCTCTTTGGATTTGAGACTTTAGTCTTTGCAACTTTACAGATCTTCTTTATGCACCAAGAGCTTGTAATACTCCAAAGAGAAAGGAAAAATTTAAATCGCATCATATGACCCCTTTAACTGAAACATCAGAAATAATATAAAAAGTGCTTTCTGTGTAGTGTGAATGGATGTGGGTGGAAGTGAATATATGTTTCAGTGTTTTGAATATGCAGTGCTCATGAGTAAAGTGAGATCATTTACAGTGAAAAATATTGACACATCACGTAAATGTGTCACAAATGAAAGCTACACAAGGCTTGATAAAACTGCAATTCTAGATCTACTTATAGATACCCCTTAAAAATCAAGGCTTTATTAGTTATAGTACAGTAGTACAGTAGGTAATATACTGATAATCATGATGCTGTTGCTTTATGTCATTTTGAATATATCTACCTTATTTTTTTATGAGTATAAAAGCTATTGTATGAGACTTCCCATTCATTAGCCACTGTAAATGACTAGAAGAATAACAAAGTGCAGTAAATGGTAAAACTAGCTACAAACCAGTGTTTATAATTATGAGAATAGGCCTACAATAATATGGTAAGAAATACCAGTTTGCAATATCAAGCAGCATTTTAGCAATTTAGGACCTTATACAGTATTTACTGTTTGTCTGATACTGTGAAACTTACTTTATTAGTAAATATTAGTCTAATATGAAAAAAATACCACATTAAAAACTCTAAAATCATTATTGGGAGAAAGAATTCAACACATACAAAGTAAACTTTGCATTCACTGCTTCTTTTTTCCAGGGATGGGAAGAATGACTTCGTAAAGCACATATGACTCACTACGTGTTCTGTGCATGTTGGTGAAAAGATTAGAGACTGTGGGCCTATGGAACTGACTATGAGAACGGCACATATTAAAATGTTCACATTTTCTGGAAAATGTGCAAATGATGCAGGATTGAAGCCCCAAAATACTCTAGCTGGAATAATGACGTAATTACATGTCTTTGTGTTATAACATGACTCACAATTATACATTTTATACAGTTTTGTAAAGCTTAATAAAAATGTTACTTGATATGATAACATTTAAGTAAAACATGGAGATATCAATCAAGCAGTGGAATTTAATATTCCACTTTCACTAACTAACATGCCACTAACAAAGATCAATAATAATTTATGCACTCAAAAAAAATCTGCCACAAGCAGCATATGGATATCGACTGAACTTTGCCCAGTTCTGTTATATGTGATTAAACATCAGTGGGTCTCACTGTAGTATGGCATGGGCAGTGGCTCCTACTGTTGGAGACAAGCGTAAGTACACACACTACATACAGCACTGACAGTCTGACACTTACACTAACTGCTTCACTGCACTATTAGCAATGTGTTGTCTTCATTCAGAAGTTCATTATATAATCAGCATTTGTGTACAATCAGTGTAGTATGTTCTTACATATATTTAAAAATACATTCTTATGTTCTAAAGCATTAATTAAACTGACAGTGCACATTAATTTCAAGCCATAGGTCAGGGTGTGTAGTGGACTACTAAGGCCAGAGTGTGCTGCTCTTTTTTCTGAGGGCCCTTGATGGTGCGATGCCATGAGGGCCCGTCACAGGGTTTGAGTGCATGAGGATCTTCTTTGCTGCTTTGCTGAGGATTTTGGATGTTAATAGATGGTTCTCCTTGACACTTCAGAAATGCTAAGAAACACCTGTAGAACTGAAAGAAAAAAAGTCTGTTCATTTCACTAATGTACAACTTTTAGGGGTAGAGAAGATACAATGTTGTCCTTTTAGGGGACGAGCTGATGTACCTGTGAGTATACTTACCTTGTCCGTGTTCCGCTCTGGCTCGCGGACAATGCACAACATAAATCTTTGTGTCTGCACAGACTTGTGCGTGGACAACCATGCATGTGAGCAATTTGAGCTCTCAAAAACAAGGGACCACTAGGTATTGCACACGTGTCCTACACATTCATCTGCACTCATGGTCAATACAGAATTTTCTGTAGGGTCTGTACACTCAACTTTACACTAGATGGAGTGGAACATGGAAAATGAAGAATATCTGAGCCTTAAAGGTAACATTTTTTGCACCTTTTTTTCTGACAGTGTAAAGATACACTAATTTATAACTATAACTAAAAATTCAGAATTCATTCCATTCAGTCTGTGGACTAACCTGGTTGTTGAAAAGCACACATATGACCGGGTTGACCACAGTGCTGCTCTTGGCCAGGACTGATGGCACCACGCTGGTTATGGGAGTGATCAGTCCCCTCCTGCCAAAGGTGGCCAGCAGGGCCACCACCCCGTAAGGCATCCAGCACAGCAGATAGCAGGATACCATCGTGACAATCATCAAAAGGATGTGGTTCTCTCTCCTCTGTGCACTCAGCAGGTTGATTTTAGTTACCTGAGCCAAAAAAAATTGAGCACTTAATGCATATGTATTTTGATTAGTCCACAAACATGACATCTAATCTCCAATGTATTTTCATTTTGATGTAGAAGTAGGCCTTTTCAAGCATCTAAATCAAGCTAAAAGCCTCCATCTTGCTGCAGAGAACATGGACTATCCAACAGTTCATGATGTCAACATGCTTAGTATGAATTGGCTTGCCATGTGTGTAAGCTGTTTGCAAATCAAAGGAAGACTGGCAGATGGCTCCTTTATGTGTCAAATGATGGGAGTCGTGACTTCTACCCTCTGGAGTCTGTTAACCTTCCTTATCCCCTTCCCATCATGAAGTAATCTCTCTGTATAAAGATCTCCTGCCAGCCAGGCACAGAATGTGAACTTCCAATCAGCGGTGGCGGCAAATGAGAGCTGATCAGTGAAGCTGAGTTCCCTGCACAGGCTCATGTCATCATTCACACCTTTTACATGCTCCATTTGTCCCAAACAAGAGGATTGTGATTGTATTGGCAGCTCCAGCTTGGCTAAGTGTTTTCTCACCTGTGTAATCCTCTGGAATGGTCCTTCAGCAATTTGAAGGACCAATGTCACACTGACAAGAAATATGAATTTGAAGCAACATAAACAAAACATCTTTGAGTCTGCAAATGGTTTAATATACACAAAAGTGTTCTCCATTCATAAACACCACCAAAAGTGCTTGTTAATTGTATCTGAATGCATTTTCATTCAGCTTTCCATTGAATAGTGTAATGGAAATCAATTTCATACCACATGTCTGGAATGGCTCTTTTTTACGAATGCAATTACTTTTTCAGACATGTCATTGCCTGATTTTCACAGTCCTCTCTTCTTGTAATTCCCCTTTTTGAATCCCATCAGAATCCCATGTTTGTGTTTCTAAGAAAAGCCTGAGGGCTGTAGTGACTGGCCCACTCATACGTGTAATGGAAGCAGCTCTTTCCATTTGTCAGATACACAATGCGGCGCCTGCTACTGAACAGAGTGTATTCCTGGAGGAAATAAATTTGTTACATAACAGTTTGTCACCAATAGTAACAGGCTCCTCATTCTAAAAATACCTCAGATGGTGATTCATTCATAGAATTGCTCTGGCGAGGCTCGCTACCTTACTACCTGCTGGAAATGCTCATTACGTATTCCTTCACACAGTGATGTGTTTATGAAATCTGCCTCAGGCTGATGAGTGACAAAAACCTTAAGCCTTCTTCACCCTGAACACTGTCTAACCTGACGCCCCAAAGTACTTTGATCTTATTCCCTTAGCTGGACAAATCAATATCAAATGGATAAATAAAGAATCCAAGAGCGCAGGACCTGTTATCTGTAGCTTGCCGGGGTTGAAATGTTAATTGGACCCAGATTTCTGGGTATAACAGCTATATTTCCTCAGAAAGGACATTAACATGGTGAGGGGAGACTGTAGTCAGCCACTGGTGTTATACAACAGCACTGGGACCTTTCACTGTTTGTATCACTCTGTTCGCCGATGTTTTTGTATTCGAGTCAGTCTGTGCATTAGTGATCAGAATTTTAGAGTGGCAGATCTCCAGGTTACATTGTTGCACCAGTAAGTGGCAGCAAGTATCTTTGTGAGTCACTGAATCATTCATTCAACCAATCTGTTCAAAAACATTGATTCATTCATGAATGAAACAAGTAACTTGCCTACTGCTCTTAGGCTGCATCTGATTATGCATACCTCCCTACCTATAATAGGCGAAAAACAGTATGTTAAAAGGGTAATATGTTTGAATTCACAACAGTAGGTGAAAAGTAGGCTACCCGCCGGACTTACTGCTTCCAGCAAGATTCAGAATTTCTGTGTTTCTCTATGCAGTCTTGCTATTTCTGCCCTAGAATGATATGGTAAAAATAGTCAGAGCACTAAGAGTAGTATGCTAGTATGAAACAACTGTCTTTATGAGTAAGTCATTGAATCATTCATCATTTACTGTTCGATGATGGAGCCTTGTGAATCAACAATATGACAATCGAACCCCAAAGAACCTTGTGAACAGTTCTTAAAATAATCGTTTTTCTTAGTTTAAATAACATTTTAATGCACTAAAGATACTTTTTCCCACTATAAAGAACTTTTTAGTGCAATGGAAAGGTTCCATGGACGTTAAAGGTTCTTCATGGAACCATAAATGCCAATGGTAAGGAACCTTAGACTACGCACAGTCAGTTTTTGGGATTGACAACCACATTTTCATTACAGGTGTGAGTGTCGAAATGTCCCGTTCACACAGCAGCTTACAGTTGTGTTTAGAATACTGTCTGTATGAACGTGCAACGGGAGTCAAGCCCGTAGGCTATTCCTTACCAGTAACCATAGCCACAGTGACCAAAGTAAAATCAAAGATGGCGACGTCCATAAAGCTGAAAGTCTTATCACTTTCTGACACGACAAGATCCAATCGAGCCGCGAGTTCTTTCGTCAAATCTTCATTAACCGACAGCAGCTTTTATATTTTGGTGGAGAGCGGAGCATTTGAATCGCGCGAAAAACACAAAACTGACGGGAGCGGCTCCGCTCCGGTGGAAAACTGACGGGATCTAAAACTTTCAGATGACACGCACAGCTCATTTCTCCGTCACTGTAAGTTACCGAAAACACGTAACACACGGTAGACGCGCGTTTGTGCGGCTCCCTCTCGCGCTGTATGACGTGACAGACAACTAGGCCTAGTTGTCCAGTCCGGTTCCGTTCACACAGCGCGTGTGTTCCGAGAATGCGGTTGTCACACCCGTAAATGCTGTGTGTGAACGTAACCACATTAAGGACTCAAATACAGGACTGACAACCATATTCTGCTGCTGTGTGAACGTGACCTAATTTTAAGAGTGACAGTGACATCCACAATTTTATGTTTCTCTTCCAATACTACTACATAATGATGGGTTTAAAAATATACAGTGGATTTAATAAATAATAACATATATAACATAATAATGAGTCCTCTTCTCACTCACCCCTTTAATAATGAACAGGATTTTGCCATAGCAGAATATCATGAGCTTGAGGGGTAGAAGCAGACAGAAGATGAACAGGCACATTACACAAGACATGCTGCTGGTTGAGCGCTGATGCCACTGCACTGAGCATGTTGTCCCGGGCCCTTCAGGTCCATAGCTACTCCAGCCCAGGAATGGTGGGAGAGTCCACACCAGCGAATAGAGCCAGGTTCCAGCCACACAGAGCCAGGCCCTGCGGAAGTCAGACACGTCTGCCTTGGTGGGGCGCAGCAGGGCGGCATAACGCTCGTAAGACAGTATGGACAGAGACATTAGAGACACAATTCTTATTTGGGATAAAGAAAACAGATATGGAAAAATAGCGGTCACAAAACAACCAACTTGTGATGTTCTAAATGTTTTTTTATTTTATTGTAATATATGTTAATATTTGTTTGTACTGTATCTATTGCCTGTTTACACTAAGTGCTGTAAAGCGATTACAGCAATTTTGACAACTTTCTGTCACGCAGGGGGAAAATGAAAATAAACCCAAGTTTGACAAAGCAATTCACTGTGAACATCCGGGACAGTCCCTAGAGAGAAGTCTGAGGTTAAGTGCAAAGAATAATTGTTATATAGTTATGCTCTCAACTCAGTTCTGTTCCTGGATCAGTTGAGCAACCCTCAACTGTTATATAAAAACTGCCAAAATTAACTGCAGCGTTGAGGTAGTGTGTTAATGAGACTGCTGTTGCTGTATATTACTAGACAAACTATACTAGACAAAAACTAATGATTAAAAACATAAATTCTAAAATAATCAATGCACAGTATAAACTAACTGAAATAACATATAAAAAATAAAACAAACTAAATTCATTTTAGTAGTCACTGAACACTTAATGCTGAGTCCAAGTACATTTAGAGATCATTAAACTGTTTCCTCTTACTTTTGTGTATTTAAAACTGTATCAACACACGGCTGATACAGTGAGCAGGTATATTTTTACCCTTGATTGTGTAAATGCGGGCACTGCTTCTTTCCTCAAATGAATATTTATTTTAGATTCCTCAACTGATTCCTTAATTATAATTACTATACTAAAACTATAAAGAGTAACAATCAAAAATAATGCTGAAACAAGACTACAATTAAACTGAAATGTAGAATAATGTAATAAAATTTCTGTTATGCAGTCTCAGACTCAAGGTGCTCATTAAGGTACAGAATGTGTTTTCCAGACAAGGTCAAAGGTATGAAGACCTATTAACAACTATCATCCTGTAAACAATGACTTGACACAAGATTATGGAGTTAAAACAAGCCGTTGACAACATATTTATTTCTACAGTTCAATTGTCAGAAATGTGGGTAACCACAGAGAAAAACTGTGAGCCTCATTCTCCTTCAGTGGGTTTGCACTGCAGGTCCACGTTCTGCACAAAAGCACTGCACTCGCAGATCTGCAGGTCCTCTACACAAGAGAAACAGAGGGTGTCACAACACTCCCACTAGAGTAATTAACGGCCTTAAACGGGCTCTTCATTCAAATGTCAGATCACTGGGGGAAGACTGTGACTTCTGAGACAACTCAGATTAAATCAAAGTGATTCTGGCTTCTGCCTGTCTTGAGCATTTGTGGAAAATGTTCATCAGACTGAAAAAAATGGAAGCATATGGTCTAATGTGAACTTGACAAAAACCATGTTGCCTTTAAAAAAATTTATAAAAAATCTGTTACTAAACTTTTACAGCACAAAACAGTAGTCTGCTGTAAGTTCTGTAGTCAAAAATGTGAAGGCACCCAGGTTAGTAAGATATGGCATATTAGGGGTGTGAATCTTCACTGGTTTCACGATTCAATTCGATTACGATTAGCTATCATTTCAACGATTCGATTCAATTCGCTATCACGATGCATCGCATCCTCAATTTTAAATATTACTGCACATGCGGCTACATTTACATATAAATTTTATAGCCATATAAATTTTATTTAGTGCATTTTTATTAAATTATATAAGCAGGCTACTTTTTAAAATAATTACAAATTAATAATAAATTAAAACAACTGTTAAGATTTTAACCAACTAAATATATCTTCAAGCAAACAAGCAAATATAAATAACGGCGAGTGGAAGCACACACTGTCAAGCAATTCGCACATATGCGGGAAAAACCAAGCTCAGAATCGATTCCGAATCGTTGAAGAGAGAATCGCGATGCATCTGAGAATTATTTATTTATAATTATTTATAATATAAGAATTTTTTATTTATTTAATATTTTCTCCCACCCCATAAGATATGTTTTATAGTGTAGCCTACTTAATTAAACAGTGAGAAAACTGTGAGAATTTAAATCAGCTCGAGCATTCTTTCAGATTTTAATGTTAATTCAAATGAAAAAATTCCAAATTCAGAAAATGTTTTCAATGTTCACACCTAAATAAATTTTAAAAAGTAATAAATCACAAATAAATAAGTAAATAAATCACAAATGTATGTGTAAAATATACAGATAGCTAATATATTTTACATTTTTAATGTATTTTTTTAGACAGAGACATGTTTTTTGCTTAACAAGAAAAAATGGGCAATACACAAAAATTTTATATAATTTTTATAACATTGGTACTGCAAAACTATTGTTTCTTTGTGATTGTGGACATACTACAAATATTTAGTTGATTTAATTTAGGCTACTTATTGACCTTACAGCTTGAGAAATCATATGCTATTATGCAATTCATTCAAGCCACCTTTTGCACATCACACCATTCTATGTGATATTTTGACTGTTTTCTGCATATGATATATATTTTTGATTATCGTTGGTTAACTACTTTAACGGCAACATCCTGGAAGATTTATTTTGGTTTGTTGGTTATATTTTTAAGCTTATGTAAGTTTTGGGACATTTTTTTTTTAGAATCAATCTCTGTGCTGTGGAGTGACACACACACATACACAAAAACATTTTTAAATCAAATGCTTGATTAAAATTAGTCAGCAGCATAATTCCTTCAGGACAAAAAAGTCCTCTCCACATTATTTTTACCTTTAAAAAAATCATATAAATTAGTGTTCTAAAAAATCTAGACCATCTGCCAAAAATAAAAAATACATATATATATATATATATATATACATACACACACACACACATATATATATATATATATAT